CTACGGAGCCCCTGTCTTTATAAATATTTATAAAATGAGTCCCAAACTCACGCTTTTAACCCCCGACTTCTAAAAATGATAATTTGCCCTTCGAACCATCCTTTGATATATAATTATTTTTTTTCGGACTACAAGCCATTCATTAATTAATTTATTTAACTAATAAATAAACGGGGTTTTACAAGGATACTACAACATTTGGCCGTAACTTATGAAGAAACATTTTCAGGAACATCAATCCGTTCCCTTGTAAATAAGGGACGTCTAACAAGTAATCAAATACAATCTGTCTAAAACTTTCACGTAGTGCACCATGCAACACCTCCAATACTTCCTAAATGTTGCACTTTGATCCTTTTAGGTTGACAACAACTTTAACGTTTAAATTTCTATAATCATGTTGACAAACAACAACATATTAATAATGTGTAAACCAACATGTAGACTAAAAATATATAATCATATTATAACCAACTATTTTCTTTAAAAATATTCGGATATTAAATGGAATAAATAAACCAACATTCAAATTACGATTATTTTCTTAAAAAATATCCGAATATTAAATGGAATATATAAACCAACATTCAAATTACAATCATAACAAAGCGTAAAACAACATGTAGACTAAAAATATGTAACCATTTTGTAACCATTTTTTTCATAGTAACGACGAGTAAATAAACACTAATTTAAAGAACTAAACCGCATGTAGACTAAAAATATGCAAATGTAATACCACATCAATCAATAATGAATATTATCTTATTAAAAAAACTCATTTCACTAAAACTAATAACAAAAAATTACCATATATACAACAACTTAATGCATACTTTACGCATTGTATACTTGTACATTCATACAATAAATAACCAAATAGCATCAAACTTCAAGACTACTAATAAATACTACTCCATCTATCAAATAAAATACAATTACCTAATAACACACAATATAGCTTGTTTGTTTGTTTTTTTTTTTCAAAAACTAATAGAATAAATCCTAAATAAACAAAATATATACTTGATAAATGTTGATTAAAACACAAAATGAGTTAATATCTTACCATATTTTTGGGATTGTTGAAGAAATCGTCCATGACAGTTCTAAAGAAATTGCAGAGAGAGCGTGTATGAAAAATGAAGAAAAAAAAAGTTTTTATAGTGTATCCCACAAAATCGCAAATGGACTACACAAAATCGCAGATGGGAAGGGTAAAATCGCAGATGGCTTATACCCATCTGTGATTTTAGTGGCTAAAAATACAATTTTGGTTTTTTTTGATTATTTTTCATAAAGTAATAGTATTTAGCTAAATTTGCAATTTTTGTTATAGTGGATTATATACCTAAGTTAACACACAAATATTTGATAAGCACTAAACAATCTTTTTAACTAAATGACATAATAAACCCATCTTGGTAAGGAATATAAAACCCCTTTATAAGGCAATTGATTATTTTGATGGAATGCACATTTCATCCAAATTTACAACCAAATACGCGTCGGAGTTTCATCGACCAGATTTTTGTCCATTTTATCTAAATTTTGAGCTATCACTTTCTATGAATCAAACAAACATTACCTTATGTTATGTTGTATGAGTTCTTCTAAGAATAAAAAAATATATATTATATTATTATTTTATTTCAATGAGACCCAGTATTAGGTTGGCCACCCTAGCAACATTTGGGGGCTTGGTTCACTATGCTTCTTGCTTGGTCTCTTTAGTATGACTTTTTTCATTACTCATTACATTAGTGTCAACTTTCACTGATGCACAATTGGGACCATTAGCCCAACGTGTGGTTCGACTGACCAAATTTAAATGGATGAGATCTTCAAGCATCGACATATATTGATAATTTATTTGACCATATTTAAACTCATATATTGTACTCAAAACTTGTACACTAGAAATTGAGAAAAATTATATATGTATATAGGGAAAAGTGAATATACCCTTAAGGGTATATAAGCTTAGGTACCCAAGCTCATCATAATACGTCGTTTTGTTTGATATATTCATTATAATATTGCTAAACTTCAATCCTTAACTTGATTTATATTCAATATTTTTTAATTTTCACTATTATATTCCACTTACATCACATCTTTTTGTCGAACATTTACTAGGTTATATATATTGTTGTTAAAAATGACAATTATGTAAGAGGAGGGTAAATACACATTGTAAATGTCCAATGTTCTTTTAATTCAACTTCTAACTTGATATAAGTCCAATATTTTTATAAATTTTACATTTATCTTCCTTTTACATAATTTTCATTTTTAACAATAATATATATAGCCTAGTAAGTGTCTGGTATAAAGATGTGATGTAAGAGGAAATTAAGAGTGAAATTTCGAAAATCTTGAAAGTAATCAAGTTAGGGTTGAATTTTAAGAACACTATAATGAATATATCAAACAAAATGACGTATTATGGTGAGTTTGGGTACCTAAGTTTATGAGTATATTCACTTTTCCCATATATATATATATATATATATATATATATATATATTATATATAAATATATATATATATATATATATATATATTATATATATATATATATATATATATATATATATATATATATATATATATATATATAGGAAGTGTTGGTTTTTCTAATTGAACGATCAAGAATGAAATTGATGTTAAGATTGTGAAAAGTTGGGTGAATGTTTCTAAATTTACTTTTTTTTTTAAACGGCAAAATATATAAAAGGCACAACTTCTTACAAAGTAGCTAACATGAGGGCAAAATAATGGGTGCAATAACAAATTACAAAGCGAAATGAAACACAAGGGCAAAACAACAGGTACAATAACAAATTATAAAGCAAAATGAATAAAGGACGAAAAACTCAAGTGTTATGGTATAGAAAAATCGATGGTCAAAGAAGCACTTAATACACTAAAAGTCAAGTTTTATTTTTAGTCAAACAAAAATAATCATATTGAATTAAAATAAAATATCACTTGACATTTACTAAGAATAGTAGAATACGTCATTAAATTATGAAGCCTTTATATTTTTAACAATTTATCCCCGAGATTTATTATTTAACTATTATTTTCTACACACGATTATTTATATTTTAAAAAGGTTTTAGAAAATCATTCATGTCTATTGTTTTTTCCCTAACATCATTTTTTTTTAAATCTATTTTTTCCATAATACAACATAGTTTTATGTATTGTTTCATTAACAATGTTGCAGAAGTTTAATAAAAAAAATGTAAATTCCAAAATAATAATACAAGACGAAACCAACACATGCTAGAAAAAGGCACAAATGGAAATTATTGGTTGTAGATGTGGTGATGGACATTCTCGTATGACATTGGCGCACTGTAAAAGCAACAATGGGAGGATTCTGATGAACAAATGACGGTCAAACGAGGCAATGATGAAAGTCGTTGATAAAAATGAGTTCCAGTGAAGGATAACATGAGAGTTGGTCGACCGATTGAAGGCAACAAAACAAGGTAATGCTAAAAAAAAGATTTTCTTAATAGTATGATACCAAGTTAACTTAGAAAAAAAAGAATGAAAACTCGCTTGCGATATTCTACTATTTAGTGTATTGCATAAGAATAAATATTTACCATAATGTCCTTATTTCATCGTTTTGATTTGGATAATAAGATATAATTTTTGGCCCATATATATAGTCCAAAAGAAAATCATTCAAATCAAATTTTGGTTGGAGTAGGTATGGTAGATGTAGGTTGACACTCTTTGCAAAATTTCATTATACTCATTTCATTTGGGAGACCACCCACTACTTTCATCACTACCAACATTTAATTTTCTTTCTTTAGAAAAAATACCAATGAAATCTTATTATTAAAGATTTCAACAATTAGTATGTGTATCCTAATTTCAACTTTGTGCAACAAAATAAGTCATTCTCTCTCACAAGTAACAAATAGAGGTATAAACATGATTTCAACAACAAACTAAACCTAATCAAATAAACCTAATTGGCTAATTTAAGATTTAAACAGATAAACTTAAAAGGATAAAACCTTACTTGTATCATTTGTGAGGCCATGAAATCGAGACGTGAAGTCATTGTGTGAGTCTCACTAAGGGTGAATTCGAGAGTCGGGCATGCAAAATCGTGAAATCAAGGGGGGCGGTAACAATGTCGAAGCTGCCTTTCATCTTATGATTTTGCATGAAGCGTGGAATTGAGCAGATAGAGATTAAATACCAATATATTATAGATAAGTTAATGGACTAACTTTGTTTAATTTTATTTTCAAATTAACGCTTTTAGACTTCGAAGTTAGACTTATATATATATATATATAATATATATATATAATATATATATATATATATATATATATATATATATATATATATTATATATTTCAAACTTTGTACCTATATATAAAAAAATGATTCAAAATTGTTTACATTGTCAGGAAAATTTGAATGACAAGCCAGGTTACCCCATGCTACACACTAGGTCCGCCCCTGGTATAAAATGTACGATAACGAGCTAAAGTTATATAGTATTTAACAATCGCTGATACACAATATAGTATTTAAGGATCGCTAATACACAATTATAGATTTTTGAACATGATATTATTATGAGAAAAAAAAAGGTTCGAGTATTATTCCTATTTTTCACATGTTATACCATTTAAAGAATATCCTTGCTTATACTTGAAGGCATATTTGTTGAAAGCATTTGAGCGTAATGAAACTCCAATTCAAAAGAGGAATATCCGAATAAATTTTAAGGAAGGTTTCTATTCCGTTCATATTTTGCGCGTGAAGTCTCTTTTAGTGAAACAGAATAGAAAGTTTAGGGACCAAAACTGCATAATAAAATATAGTCAAGGGACCACTTTTATGCTTCACGCTTCTTTCCATCCAAAAAACCCTCGCCCTATAAATTGACGCCACACGTTGCCTTTGATCCCCAAAAGTTCGCCCTGCAATTCTTCTCCTCTCTCCAATTAAGAATGACTCGCGTAACGAATTCCAGCAACAATACGTCAACGGCGACAATCAAGTTTCTTTACAGTTACGGCGGAAAGATTCTGCCACGTCAGACTGACGGCAAGCTCCGATACGTCGGCGGTTACACTAGAGTTCTAGCCGCAGACCGTTCCGTCACCTACGCGGAGTTGATCGTTAAGTTTTGGGAAGCGTGTGGATTCTCCGTTGATTTGAAGTGTAAGCTTCCGACCGAAGATCTCGACGTGCTGGTGTCCGTCACTTGCGATGAGGATCTCGCCGCCGTTGTGGAGGAGTACGATCGAGTTTCTCCCGACGCGAAGATTAGAGCCGTTCTTTGTCCTGTCAAATCGTTGAAGACGATATCTCCTGTTCCATCCGTTGAATCGCTCGTTGAGTTTTCAGCTTCGAAACCGCCGCCGTATCCAGTGGTGGCCAACTCCGCCGTCCGAAAAGGAACGCAACGATGCCAGGCGGTTGATTTCTCTGCATACAAGCTCCGTCGGCGTCTTCTTGCCGGACCTTGCCGTGATAGTCCACCGTCGGTATCCCGGTTTCGTGAAGAAAGAATCCCTATGCAAAATTACTTTGTTCGTCGATGGGATTACAGTCAATACTAAATCAAGAAATTAAGCCTTAGGAATTAGATGAACATATATAATCACCATACTTGATAAGAGTTTTTGATTCGCAAATCCAAGTTCTTATCTGAGACGATATTGAAATCTTAAATATAGGATCCATTAGCAAGATTGATTTGATGAATTTTGATTGTCTCAGGAGTTACCATTGCTAATTGCTACTAGGGTTTCATACTTTTGTTATAACGCCGTGACATTTGGGATCGAATTGTGGAAGAACAATTAAAAGGGAAAAGAATAAGGAATATTATTTTGGTGAACCAAAATTCAAAGTTGGTTGTAGTCTTGTGGAATTTGGACAAGTTTCCGAGATGCACAAAAATGGGGCCCGACTTGGCTCTTAACGGGTAACCAGTATACCAATTCCAGGCCTACATATGTATCTCGTTTTAATATTATTGAGAAGTATTACATTTTTCAATAAGTTTAAAACAGAAAATTATACATATTTTATAATAAGAAATAAATCAAAATAAATTAAATTTATAATTTTGTATTACAAGTACCAAATATTTTATATAAAATATTATTATGCAAATAGTATATTATAAAGGTATTTTCTAATATATATATCCTAAAAGCATATATAAGAAGTATTAATTGTATGAAATATTATCATAACTAAATGTGATAAACATTAATTATGTTTAATATTATCATAACTAAATGTAAAATTACATTAATTATAAAGAATATTATTTATAATTAATATTTACCAAATTTAATTATGATAATATTTTTTATAATTAATACTTCAATTAATGATTCTTATACAGGTCTTTTGAATATATATTAGAAAATTCCTATAAAATACATAAATTTTAAAAAAGAATAATCAAATTGAATAAATAAAAGTTAAACACTATATTTGGTGAAAATAAATGTAACACCGTTTACACTGACAGATAAAATACATACATTAGTGTTCTAATGGTTAAAACAGAAGTTCATTGTGTATCCTTAGGTGGTGTACCTGGGGAATCTCCCCCTTCATTTGTTTGTAATTTCGGTCATCTTCTCCGACGAGTCTTCGACCAACATGATTTTTCCGACAAGTTTTTAACATACACAAGTAAGGTTTTGATTTTTCAAATTAACAACTTGAACACACATCACACTAGATTTCTATTTTCAAATAAAACACAAACACACACACACAAACATGTCACTTCCTGATCGTCGTTAGACTTGGCAATTGACCGAGTTTGGAGCGGATCGACCTTGATCCAAACCCATTAAGCAATTTTCAAATGTTGATTCAAACCCGACCTGTAATCCGTAGAGTTTTAAATAATTACACCCATACTCTTATCTACCGGATCAATGAATTTTAAACTATTTTACTTGACTCATTTACAATATTAAAATTATGCTATAATTATGCATTACAACACATATAACATGAATCACTAAAACTAGTAAACATTCATTCCAAAACAAACTTCTATTATAGATTAATAAATAACGTTTCCAAAACAATACAAATGTCTAATATTGCAAACATGCAAGACAAAAAGACACACAATTGAGTAAATTTCAATAAGGCACGATTTTAATTAGTCTTCCGATTTTAGTTAATGATTTTGACATAATAACACAAGATTTTAGTTGCCAGTAAGGTAACAACAAACGATTTCAATAGGTCACAGTTTCAATAAGTCGATTTCAATAACACACAATTGGAATAGAGAATATGATATTAATCGATTATATTATAATTTTAGAAAACAAACTTGATTGTGGAATGTCGACTGTAAAAAAACCTTTCTACGAAACCAGATAGTTTGAATCCTATTCTTCTTGTTCTTGGTTGCCGACTATGACTGTAATACTAATTTCACATATTTATTTGTATTATTGAAATTCGGTCATTAGGAATTGGAAAGTGGAAGTGGAATGATTGAACTCTCTCAGCCTTGTACATTTCAGTCCTTTATAGAACATTGTTTCGATGATAAACATATAACTTATATATAATAAATTTATATTTTAAAATTTTAGACGTGACAGGTCATAAATAGATCAGATCGATAGTGATTCGTACCCAAATCTTTTAATAAAAGGGTTAACCGGTATGAACTGTTAAAGGGTAAACGAATCATAAAATATAGGGATGAGCAAAAGAACCGAACCGGTCGGAACCGGCCCGAACCGGACCGGAACCGGGAACCGGCTTCGGCCAAAATTAAGAACCGAACCGGCCCGGCGGTTCTACCGGTTCCGGTTCCACCGGTTCCCGGTTCCTACCGGTTCTTGTCGTGTCTTCAAATGTTGGAACCGATCCTTGAAAAATAGCATCATACGGTTCCGGTTTTTGCCGGTTCTACCGGTTTTTGCCGGTTCCGGTTATATCGGTTCCGGTTCCTACCGGTTCCCGGTTCCAAAAATCCACAAAAATAATGTCCCGGTCCCGGCCCGACCGGTTCCATCGGGTTCCGGTTCCGGTGCCGGTTCCGGTTCCAGTACCGGTTCCGGCCGGTTCCCCGGTCCATATGCTCATCCCTAATAAAATATTATCCAAACTCATTAACTTTGCATGGGTTTGGAGCGGATTAGGATCAAAACTTGCTCCATTGCCAGGTCTAATCGTTGTTCTCATCAACCACCACCACCAAGCCCTTATTCCTCCTCTATCGTCTTTCTATTAACAACTAAGTTACGTTTTTATGGGTTTGTTTATCCAAGCAACCCAAGCCACCATTAAAATCGCTTACTGTTCATCACTTTCAACCACCAAGCCACCATTATAAACGAGACCTTCACCACCACAGACCAAATCCGGTCTCAAGCTATCTCCGAGAACCTCGGATCAAACTTCGTCGACAAGTCCAAGACGATTCCCCTTCGTTTCGTTTTGCTCTGATGGTTGAAAGTCAACAAACTACACACTATGTAACACAATGCACAAGCTCGTCGAAGCATTATCCTTTGAACCAACACAGTGAGAGAGAAGGAGGTTGCAATCAAAATCGAAGAGGGTAAGTGTCGATTACAGTGGAAACAAGAAAGAGAAGGAGCCTGCGATCGATTCTTCTTGTGTCTCGGACACTTGGAGATCGGGTTTGAAAGAGAATGGGAGTACCCTTCTTGTTTGGTTCCTGTTTTCGTCATAGCGCACACAAAGACACAACAACAAATTAAAAATAGGAGTTTTTCTTGAAATTTATCACTTATCTGATGGTTGCAACCCATTTCATGAGAGAGAGAGGGAGAGAGAGAGAGAAAGAGAGAGAGAGAGAGAGAGAGAGAGAGAGAGATTTTGAGTTCGCCGGAAAAATCATGAATACCGGAGAAGATGATCCGAGTCACCGGAGCTGTCAAATATGCCGGAGACTGGTTAAACCTATGATTGCAGATCATGAGGATGTTTTTTGAACACTTTAACAAGTTCAATGAAATAAACAACTCAATGACTAAATATGTATAAAGCTAAAAATATTTTACCCTTTTAAGTTATTATCCCTTAGAACAACTTTACATCAAATTTGATGTAAAAAATGAGATTTGGTGTTAGGTTAGAAGTGTCTTAATTTGCTATTAGACTCGAGGGAGTCGGAAGGAAGCTTCCCTCACTTTTTGTGGGTCATACCCCCTTATTCCCTCATCTAAAACCCAAGGAATGGGTGGAAGTCATTCCCTCACTTTTTTTTATTAAATAAAATTAATTTTTTTTATGATTTGTAATTTTTAAATTAATGCTAAACATAAAATTTAATTAAAAATAAAAAGCATTTCATTAATTAAAATAAAAAATACATTAAACCTAAATTTAAAAAACTAGAATTTTTTTTAAAAAAAAAAAGAAAAAAGACACAGACTAAAAATCAAACAAACCAAGAACAACCTACGGAAAATATTTTTTCAGATTTTTTCCGTCTTCTTCATCACGAGCTCTAGAGCCGGCCCCGAGAGATGATCAGCGTATTCCATCAAAAGCTTCATACCCTCCATTTCTTGTCTCTCCGACCGCTCCTTTTTCCTTGTTTCTTCTTTTACTCTGTCGAATGTCAAACGTTCGGAGAAATTAAGATTATATCGATCAAACGACGATGTTATTTTCCGCATTTCGTCAATTTCCCTGTTAAAATCAGATGCACCCGAAGAAGCCCCTTTTCCCTTTCTCTTCGCTTTGTCCCTACCCATTGGGCGAATAATTTCTTCTAGCTCGAGTTCGTCATCCTGATTTAAATCTAGAACGACCCTTAGCATCGGAGGAGGTTGTGTAACCACTAGAGCCCGTTTTTGTTCGCTTTGATTGTCCCCTTGGCCGCTTTTCTGTTGGGTTTTTAGGTTGTTGTACAACCCGTTTATTTTTGAAACCCCTGCTGCTATTTCTCGAAACTTCGAATTCAGTTGATGTTTCGTACGGTAGTCGTCGCCTTTTCTTGCTCCTCTCGAAACCAAAAATATTCTCCCGGTTGTGCATTTTCTTGAATCGAATTTTCAGAAATGTCAACCCAAGCTTTGACCAAAACTAGCTCTTTGTCTGGAAGCCATGCAGTCGGCCTTTGTCTTCCCGGTTGTGCGACACTCTCGTGCGCTTGTTTTTTCCCTTTACGTCTTTGTGGGGGTGGTATAGGTTGAGTTTCGGGAACCATCTCTTCTTCCGAGTAATCCAACTCGTCGACAAGTTGGCGTTGTTGGTGGGTTTGGGTTTGGGTTTGGGTTTGAGTTTGGGTTTGAGGTTGAGGTTGATTTGGCGATTGTTGATCTGGAAACACAATAAAGTTTGAAAACCGTTGCAGCGAAACATTTGGAACTTGCATCGGGTAATATTGTCAAACATTTTGGTATTGAAATTGTAGTGATGATTGAATAAGAGCATCGAGTTGGAGCCGATAAACTTTTTGTGGTGATTAATCGATAGCAAAAATGTTTCGAGAAGAGATGTTTGTACTCAAACTATGACTTTTTTTTTCCTTCGATCGGAAGGTAGGGTTTGATTGTTGGGATTTTTTTTTTTGAGAAGAAAGTGGAGAGAATAGAGGATTTGTGTGAATTTTGTTTGATGGTAAATAGTTGTGTATTTATAGGTGTGTAAAAAGGTTTTAAAAAAAACAAAAAAAATGGATTTAATTCCATTTAGCCGTTACAGCCCCAAAAAAAAATTATTATTATTATTATTTTTTACCGTTGAATTTAAAAAAAAAAAAAAAAAAAAAAAATCAACGAATCACAGCAGGAGAGAGAACGCGGGAGAGGTTTCCCTCACCCATTCCCGCACCACCCTTCCCCGCACCGACGGTGCGGTGTTCCGCCGAGCAGGAAGCTCCCCGCAACCGTTCCCTGCTCCCACTCCGTCCGGCCTTAGAAAAGACTACAATAAATTCATTTTATAAAATAACAATGCAATCTGGATTGGAACCAAAATACAATAACAAGGTTTAAAAGGGGTGGGATCTTTTTCACTTTTCCTCTCCATGACATAACAGAATATACTAAACTGTTTAACAATATCAGTAAAAGAATGGTGTTATTAGGGAGTATACATTGAGGGATGGAATAACAAATAGTACGAGGATTAACCAGTTTCCTGCTCAAACTCATCACCTTCAGACTCTTCTGCATTGTCAGCATCATCATCGTCTGCATCATTGTCCAACTCTTCTTTCTCATTATCATCTGTCATCTTCCCTATCACAATTTGCTCAGTGTTTATCTTCCTGATCTCATTACACTGCACAAATGAATCTGTTAACATTTCTTTCACTTCTCCATTTGGGGGGTTTCATCTCTTTTTCTAGCATAAAATAAATACTCACATGATGATATGATATAAACATATACCACAGAATAAAGATTTATGTAATCTAGGAACATGTAACTAGTGTATATTAAATCCACACCTAGTTAAAGATCTGGGTGATCTTATATGCCAGATCTAGCTGAAGATTACATGCATTTGGGCCCAAATTGAAAATCAGTTGACACAAAATCTAGGTTTCCATGATATGAAATGGAATCAACAGAAGGAAAATCAGCAATCTAGTTAAGATCCAGGTGATTAAATATATCAGATTTAGCTTAGATATTAATCTGTTATCAATATTCATCATACGAATTTTGGAGTTCAATATACAAATTTAGGTTTTCGTCATATGAAATGGATCCATATTAAAATGAGACCTAATTAAGATCCAGCTCATTTAACATATCAGATTTAGCTTAATACAATCCATATTCATTATAAGAATTTGGAGTTCAATATCATATCTAAAATCCTTCCAAAATGCAAATATAAGTGAAATGGAACCAATCAACCAACATTATACAGCACGATGAAAACAGAGCAAAGAGGAATTTAAAAAGGGATTAAATAGTCGATTATAACAGGACATAACAAATGACGACATTTAAAGTGAATTTTCACAAACAATCAGCTGGAAGTATACTGTATATAATGACTGACCTTATCTTCGAAATCGGACTCTTCAATGGCGAGGAGAAGTTCCTCACTATGCGGCTGAGGCCACTGCGGAGTAAGAAGAAGCGACGTCGGAATCATCCTCGTCGATGACGGATACCGCGTCATGAATGCCGGAAACTGCAACATATTTGATTGTTCCAAATTCTAATCCAAGGCACCTTAATGAACTGAGTAACCACTCACCAAACTATTTTATACGTGGGCCGAGCTTTTCGCCTGATTGACATTGGCCCATTTATGTTTTTGTTTTCAAAAGGATAGACCATAGAATTTAGGTAGTAGTAGTGGACTAATGGTGCACAAAAAATTCCGTTCACGATCCGAACGGGTGGTCTAACCGAAAACTGGTTCATCCTTGAACCGGTCCCTGTTGAACCGATCCGATGTTGAATTAAACCGTCAGTTTTTAGTAATTTGAATTTCTAGCCGTTCGAACCGGTTTATGATGAATCGGTTTTACAAATTAACAATGCATATATTACCCATAATATCCTAAGAAACAAAGCAAACATTGTAAAAAAGAAGCAATTTCGTCGGTTTATTTTTTTGAACTTTTTCGAGGAACCAGTTTTGAACCAGTTTATGGTGAACCGATGTGAGGTGAACCGGTTTGTATAGGTTCGAATTATTTTGGTGGTGAACTGGTTTGAAACCGAACTGGTTTAGGGGTGAATCGGTTTTGACTTTGTTGACTAGAATCAAATCGGTTTTCTGCACCGGTCTAGTTAAAAAAAAAACCAGTTTGTGCACCACTAGGTAGTAGTACACAGGGATGCTCGATTGGATTTATCTATTCGATCTTATTCAATCAAGTGAACTCAAATTGATTTTGGTTTTCAAAACCTAAATCCGAATATATCCAAGCTAAACTCAAATATGATCTGATCCGATACAATTACAATTTGGTTGGATTGGTTTTATAATTCGGGTTTCAAAACATTTTAAAACGACGTATAATTATAATATTATATATCTGTATAGAAAAAAAAAAAAATTTACTAGTGATTTAAAATTTATAAACAAGTATTAAAAAGTATATTATAGTTTATTGTTTTATAGATAAACACACTTTTGAAAGAAAAGACATATTAATGTTTTTTATCATGTAAAATTTTTTGAACTTATTTGAAAAAATAAATTACATAATTAAAAAACAATTATATATATATATATATATATATATATATATATATATATATTAAAAATAAATAAATAATAAATTGTTATTCGTTTTTTTTATAATAAATAATGAATTGTTATTTTATATATATATATATATATATATAATTAGTTCATAACTTTTAAAAAAAGTTATATATTATGCCTAAAACTATAAAATTTGACTTTAATCCCTCCCGTTCTTTTATTTTTATACATATTCTATTTTTGGCCCTCTCAAATCAAAACTTCAAACTCTACCACTCGACTCTCTCATATACATGAGACATGCACGTTGGTTTCCTCCTGTGTGGAGGAATCAGCCTCATTTTGTCTCGTTACTAACTTAATCGTCGGAGGTCACTTCCTGGATGCATGTCGTAAAGCGGCTCTAATGGTGTTGACGATCATTGTTACATGTATCAAATTGGGACCAACTAATATAATTTTACCTTTTTTTTCTTGTAAATATGTCTAGCGATATATTTCTTTCATCACTAATTACGTTGATTATAATACTAAATGTAACATCCATAAAAATCATGCAAAATTTAAACGTTTTTCAAAACATTTCAAAACCATTAATTAATACAAAACTTGTTTTCAAAATAGTATTATATCAGAGTATCCCATAAACGAGTCATAAACATGAGGAGCTGTATGATCATGCATTTGTCTTCCTACAATCATCTGATGTACTTGAAACAAAAACTGAAACTATAAACCCAAACCTTAGTGAGTTCCTCCAAAATACCGATACACTGCACATAATAAATATACAAATAAAAACATGTATTGGGTCCATAACTTTACAGACTAGATTACCCCTAGGCTCACAATGTGAGTCTGGATTGCCTTTCGGGCCCACAACTCACATCTGGATTGCCACCGAGCCCACAATACGAGTCTGGTATGCCTCACCCGACCTTCAGCTCCTCCCGAGTCCTCAGTATGAGTCTGGCATCCCCCGTTCAACCCTCAACTCATATCTGGAATACTCTAGGGTTTGTTGGCTACCGCATGGAGCAGTACAACCTCAACCCAACCCACATAATATGTCGACATATAACATAGCTAATGCAGATACAAATAATTAGGTGACAATACAGGTAGTCCTACAGATATACCAAACTAAGATAACTGTGACAACCCGATATTTCAATTACATGTAAACGACCTAAAAAGTCAAGTATTGTAACCACATTAGTTGTAATAAAATATACTTCGAAAATAAAATATCCCAAAAATCAATAATTAAATTACCTATTATGTTAGATGTCATTAAACCGTGATCGTACGTAAAAATAACGCCCAAATCCGACTTCGTATAAGAAAGTTGGGAATTTTTCAAGTTCAGCTTAACGACAGACGGCTAAAAACTCAAATCAGAGATCAAGCGACTTTTGGCCGGAATGACCTAAATGAGAATCGAAGGTCTCAACAATGGTATTTCAGCGGTAAAAAGTCTGGCAAAAACCGACGTCAGATAAAGAAGTTATGAATTTCTAAAGAAATTTTCTTACCACAACCTTTTAAAAATAAATAATAAAAATAATTTCGGAATTTGCCGACGAGATCTAAACGAAAGTTGTAGAGTATGGTCTCACCTTCGCGTGGATATAAAGAACGTTGAAAACGGAGTTCGTATGAAGAAGATATGAATTTTTGAAGTTTATTAAATAATTTATATATAAATTTAATTAAAAACCCTTGGTATTATCCAAAGGGGAGTCACCAGATAGGGCCGAGTTACGCCCAGCGTACGCGAGGCCTTGGCCTCAGATCGTCCACATCGCGCCTGTGCGAGGCTATGCCCCGTCCCATCCGAGCTCCGAGGCAGTCGAGGACTCGGTCACGCATGACGCACGCGTACGCCCCACGTACGAGGTCGGTTCCCAGCCCCTATAAAAGGGATGCGAGGGTTCCGGGAAAATCACACCATTTCTCTCATTTCTCTTATGTTCTTGCCTCGTTTTCCGTGCCCGTGCTACCCCGAAGCCCCGATCACTTTGCTCAAGTCCCGAAGGTCGTTTGTGCCCCGAGATTCCCGAGAATCCCGAGGAAATCCACTTTCTCGAGCCGAAATTCTATCCGGTTTTCATCCCGCAACCTCCGATCTTACAAGTGAGTTCATACCCCTATAATTCACACTTTTAAATGTTTTATGAGTACTTTTACATGCTTTTAGGGGGGGGGGGAATACAAGTAAAACACTCGATTATTATCGTGTGTTATATAAACTTTCACTATACGCTTTTTATCAAAGGAATCATATGTGATTTAAAACTATTAAAGGGAAACTTTCATATGCAAATTATACCACGACAACATTTTATCTTTTGAAATGAGAAACGATTTATGTATTTATATAAATCAGATACTTTGCTTATACTACATTTCTGTGTGTCGGTTTTGGCACTACAAAAACTACACTTTTCATAACAAGTGAACATTTTCACTAAGGGTTTATTATACAAACGAAACACACTTTTAGGAAACTATAATATGTATAGTTTTATGAGAATACTACGAACTTTTACGTACATGGAAATACTATTTCAAGAAGCTACTTTCATATACAATAACGAACGAACGTTTTCACACGTAAATCTGTTTTATACTAAGTTTTGTGACACATTAACTTCACGTACGTTCGAGTACACATTTCAAGTCCTGTATTATATACCAGAATCCCTTGGAGAGGGAGCATGGTGTTTGTGTATAGATCTATACGGGCTTGACAACCCGCGCCCTGACTGTTAGCTACAGTCCACCATTTGGGGTGACAAACGTCAGAACATTCCAACGCCTGAAGAACGTTGTGTATAGGCATTCCTTGTCAATAGTATGGTTATAAAACTCACATAGAGTATTAAAAACACAATGATTTACGGGGTTTTTCAGACATATTGGAAATTTTATACGTACATACATTTACTAGAAATAAACATTGGTCTTGAAAGAAGGCTACATTTATACTAGTAGAAAATATAGGATTTTCTAGGAACAAGCAAACAAAGAACAAAAACATTTCATTTCATACAAACATTGTCATTAAATACTTATGAAACTCACCAGCTTAAATGCTGACCTACTCTTTCAAAACTACTTGTATGTCCCAGGGATTCAGTAATTACAGATAACAAACAGGTTTTGGAGAAGCGACGCTGCGGCGCCAGTTTAATTTCATATTTTGACATCATATTGTAATTGATTTTGAACATGTACTCTTTTAAACAATGTAAACTTTCAATTATATATATGATGGTTGTATTGTTTTCTTTACTATGTATTCATTTGTTACGTTACCACATGAAGTCATCCGCCCCCGAACATTTCCGCCGTTCCGGTTTGGGGGTGTGACAATAACAAACTCTCAATCCCCGACCACGAACTCCACTACCTATAGTTACCATAAGATAATTTCCATAAATTTCCAATTTACCAAAATACCTCAAAAGTCAACTAGTCAACCCTCGATCAAAGTCTAAGTCAATGGTCAAGGTCAACAGTCCATGTTGACCCGACTCGCTGAGTGCAGTTCACCGACTCGTCGTGTCCTTCCTGGACTCAAGAAGGATCCCTTGTTGACTCGTCAAGTTTCCCTGAAACTCGCCGAGTTCATGAATGTACAAATGTCGGGAAAACCCTAGCTGACTCACCTAGTCAACCTACTGACTCACCAGGTCCATGCAAAAATCCTTGTTCGACAATCTTCATCGGACTCACCATAATGCAACTCGTCGAGTCTCTTCAGTCCTTTTTCCATCCAGATGATTTTTAAGCCACTTTAAAGTTCCATAATGCATATCCAATCTCCTAAGGCATACTTCTTACGTAAAGTTGCAAACTTTACGTACATGCAAGGTGATAATGGCCCAAATCAAGCTAAAGAAAGGTTATATGGGATGAAGAAGGTATTAACTCACTAAAGGCTAAAACTTTATGATCTTACAGACCATGATAAGCCTAGATCTGAAGTTGCAACTTCAGATCATGGCTAATACCCACAATAACATGTTATCATTGCCAAAGTGGCCCCAATCTCATACATGCATAGATCTAGATAGAAGAAGGTTAAGGTAACAACTTGTTACCTCAAAAATGATGCTAAGATGCAGAAGAACTCGGATCTACAACCTTCCTCTTGTTCCAAGCTTGAGTACTTCAAGATCTTCCTTCCACAATCCACCACAAAGCTTAATATCACACAAAAGAGGGAAAACAATGATTTGGGGTTTCTAAACTCACAAGGGGCTGTAAGGGAGGCTAATTGAGGCTAATGACCCTTTAAATAGGGTGTAAAACCCCAGAAATTAGGGTTTCATCATTTAGCTCCAATTCGTTGAGTTGGTCACTTAAACACGTGGCCATAAACGTTCCTACTCGACGAGTCAGGGCATCCAACTCGTCAAGTAGACTTTTCAATATGAAAAATAAAGCTGTAAACTTAATATCTGAGAGTCGGGGTGTTACACTAAAAATCAAGGTTCTTTTAAAAATATGTGAGAAAATTTTTCTTCAAGCTTTTGTACAAAAACTCTATTTATTTTTATAAAAATAACCGTGCATTTTATAACCATTCATTGTTTTGAAGTGTTAGAATAATTTAAAGAATTTAATCATGCAAAAAAAAAAATTGCTAATCAATGAAAAATGTGAAAATACATTAGATTTTCTGGCAAAAACCCTTATGTTTACGGTTAAGAAATATAATGAGTACTTTATATTGTCCCTTACTTTGTTTATGGGCCGGTTGATCAAAACATTTGGCACTTAAGATCATGATTCATTAAAAGAATAATCACAGCATTTATACGAATTTAATTTGCTTCTATCAACTTAATTCAAGGGAATTGACGTTTAACATTTGATGAATAATTCGAAAAAAAAAAAATCTTATAAAGAACGGTTGTCGTTAAATATCATATGAAACGGCCATGCATTCTTTGACAAAAACGAATAAACATAAAAAGTAGTTACTTTAATACTTTATTATGTAGTGATCATAGAAAATAGAAAGGTTAGAACCAAAACTGCACAGTGAAATATTCTCAAGGGACCATTTTTTTTTATTCAAGCTTCTTTCCAACAAGAAACCCTCACCCTATAAATTGTCCCCACGCGTTATTTTGATTGCTAAGATCGTCGTTTTACAATTCTTCTCGAAACTTCTACCTTTTCCGGATTAACAATGATTCGCATAACGAATTCCGGCTACAAAACGTCAATGAAGTTTCTTTACAGTTACGGCGGAAAGATTCTGCCACGTCAGATTGACGGCAAGCTCCGATACGTTGGCGGTCACACTAGAGTTCTCACCGTCGACTGCACCGTGACGTACTTGGACTTGATCTTTAAGTTTTGGGAAGCGTGTGGATTCACCGGTGATTTGAAGTGTAAGCTTCCTTCAGAAGATCTCGACATGCTTGTGTCTGTCACTTGTGATGAGGATCTTGCTGCCGTCGTGGAGGAATACGATCGAGTATCTCCTGACGCGAAGATTAGAGTTGTACTTTGTTCTCTCAACTCGGCAAAGACGATTGCTACTGCTCTAGCCGTTGAATCACTCTTCAAATTTTCTGCCTCGAAACTGCCGCAGTACCCTGTAGTTGCTAATTCTGCCATCCGAAAAGCAACGCGACAATGCCATGTGGTTGATTTTGCAGCTTACTATACTCGTGTCGGATCTTGAGGTGATCATCCACCATCGTCGTCCATATTGTGTGAACATACAGACATCGTTCGTGGATAAGTAGTTTTTGAATTAGGTAAACAACAACATCTTCTTCCATAGTTTCATGGTTAAATCTCTTTTTCTTCTTAGTCTTCTCTACTTTTCGGATTCTATGCCTTTCCATGGCTAGAAATCTTTATTCTCCCCTTGTGGTTTGTAGATTCTTACCATAACACAATGCATGTGTTAGAGATGGTGAAAATCCGGGATCAAACCCATGCAAGGAGTGGAAAAGATGCACATATGATCATGTGACATCAAAACCTAATATTTCATGTTCTTCTCCATTTCTTTTGTGTTCATGCATGAACAAAAGCATTTAAACCATTTCTAGTACATCTTGGATGCTCATTCATTCCATGCATGTGTTAGAAATCGGGCCTTACCAAAGACATGCATGATGTTCTTGTTGAAATACCCTAATAATGCACACAAGCAAATCTTATCTAAATGTCAATATTAAATTTTGGAAAAATGACCCAACAAAGTTTTCAAACCGTTCAAAAACACCCAGTTATGTTTTGTCAGTTTAAAAAAATCCAACAAACTTAACATTTTGTCCAAAAAAACTCAACTACCTTACACTTTTGTTCAATTCTAATTATGGTCAATGGGCTAATAAAAGTCAACAAATGACATGGCTTATGATGTGAAAATTAAATATCAGGAAAATAACTTGTAAAACCAATGAAGTTTCGAAACCATTAAAAAACCTCAATCAGTGACAATAAGTTTGTTGGGTTGTTTTAGACAAAAGGTTAAGCTTGTTGGACTTTTTTGAACAGACTAAACATGATTAGGGTTTTTGAACGGTTTCAAAAGTTCTTTGATCTTACAAGTCACTTTCTCGATATTTAGTTCCATATCATAAGCCATGTCATTCATTGGCTTTCATTAGCCGGTTGGCCCTAATGAAAATTGAACAAAAATGTAAGTTAGTTGAGCTTTTTTAGACAAATGTTAAGTTCGTTGGATTTAAACAGACAAAACATAATTGGGGTTTTTTGAAAGGTTTGAAAACTTCGTTGGGGTTATAAGTCATTTCCCTTAAATCTTTCGTAGGATGTTAGCTTAAACAAAATCAACACCTGGTTAAATATTTAGACGATCTAATATACCAAATTTACCTTAGATTTAATATATATTAGTTAACGTGTATTTAGAGTTTAATGTCAAATTTAAATAGTTCAAAATGTTAGAAAAAAGGGATGAATAGATTGCTTGGATTCTCTGAAAGTCGTGATTCACTATCAAATTGAAGTATTTCGATGGTATAGATCGAACACTCAATTGGATGAAATTCAGAGAATGAAATCTGAGAATGTATATGAAAATGTTCTTTAACATGTACCAGAATATTGACCAAAAAATGGATATATCAATCATGTCTGAAAACTGTCAACAGACAGTTACAAACTGTCATAAAACTACCAAACTGTCATTAAACGGATCTCAGGGAAAAAAGGGTCAACTTTCTAAAATTGGATTTTTGATGCAATTTTTAATATAGCAATCATGTCTGAAAATTGTCAACAAACAGTTACAAACTGTCATAAAACTACCAGCCAGGGGCTCTGCCCCTTGGACCCCGCCAGGGGCTGTCGCCCCTGGGACCCTGCTCTAAGGGGCGCTGCCCCGGACCCCCGTTCGTTTAGGGGCTTCGCCCCTAAATAACAATGTACTTTCAATCTTGAAAAACTTGAACAAGTGTGCACTCCTACACCATCCTACCTTGTTCAATATTCAACAAGATCGCTTTTGGTCAACAAATTTAATCCTATTACACTTAAATACTATTTGATGATATAAAATCACCAACACAAAATACAAATCTAATTTTACAAGTCCGCATATAATATTTAGCTTAGATATTATTCATATTAATCATAAGAATTTAGGGTTTAATATGAAATCTAAATCAATTCAAAGTACAAATTTAATTTTCATCATATGGAATAATCATCCTACAAGAAAGCTAGAAAACTGAATCTTAAAATATTGAACATAAGAAAACTAGAAAAGTGAATTTTACACATGGGATAACGACTTGAAAGGGTAACCAACTATACACTTTGTATATATTTGGTCATTTAACCTTTATTGGTGCATTGTTAACGCTTAAATTGTATTTTTTTTAAATCATACCATTATCACCTAAAATAACAGGTGAAACCTGTTTTGAGGGGTTTTAGTTCCACTTCCAATGGCATTTTTGATGTTCCTTACATTGGATGGAAAATCGAGAGCTTGTTTCCACCCGTTAGAAATGAATAATCAATCTTCTTCTATGTTCTTGATATCATAGGAAGCAATAAGATTAAACCTGTAAAGTTATTGTCACTGAAATCGTGGATCATGGCAGGGGAAAATCGGGAAATGGAAGACAGGTTTCTAATTGAAGGTGGGACATGAAGATGAACGCACAAACATATATGAAAATGAACTCGAAGCTGATGAAGACGAAGATGAACACACAAAAAGCCTAGGGTTTTCCGATTCTAATTTGTTGTTCTTGTTTGTATATTTGTGGTTATCATGTGTTGAACCCCATATTCTTAGCCTTGAATAAAAGTTCATCTGGAAATCGTTTCATCAACTGAAAATCGTGTTCTAATCATGTTATGGTGGTTTCATCAACTAAAAATTGCTTTTTGGGTTTATTGAACGCAACATTTCGAGTTCTAGGGTTTTTAGATGAAGAATCTACCGGAAGATGAAGAACAATTAGGAAGAGTTTCGTGAATGAAGATGAAATAATAAAACACAAACCCACAAAACAAGATGAATCTTCAAAACCAAATCAGAAAACGATTTTGAAATCGTGTTACTGTTCATTTTTTTCCTACAAATCCACGTTTCAATTCTTAAAAAAATATCGTATCAATGTTTTTTAATATAAACATGCGATTTGTTGAAGCAGATCTTCCCTTTTTATTCCAAAGTCGAGTGGTTCTTTGTTCCATATTTCCTTTTTTTTTTGTTCCAAAAGAGTGTATTGAGTTCTTCAATTTCAAGCTTTTCACATGAGCACACACTTGATGAGACAAATTTACAATTTTTTGAAGATTTTTATGGGTTTGAACTCCATTTTTAAATTATTCTAATACTTTCTTTATTACTTATTTTTCCTAATGTTTTGTTCAACAAAGCGTAAAAAGCAAAAAATGACATAAAAACGGATAATCAAGTCAAATGATACCCTGACATGAAGCTTGATATACTATTATCAGTAATGCACTCATATTTTTTAAATAAAGAAAAATTATAGTACTATGTGTAAAAGACTACAATTCCTTGATAATACCTATATAAAAAATTAGTGCTGTTTTTATATGATTCTAATACTTTCTTTATTACTTATTTTTCCTAATGTTTTGTTCAACAAAGTGTAAAAAGCAAAAAATGACATAAAAACAGATAATCAAGTCAAATGATACCCTGACATGAAGCTTGATATACTATTATCAGTAATGCGCTTAAAAGACTATAATTTCTTGATAATCCCTCTTCTAATAAAATAGTCATTTATGCTACGTGTCACTCTCCACTTTTTTCTTTTCAAAGTAAACTACCAAAAATGCCCCGGCTCTCTTTAAAACTCCCATATGATTCATTACTTTCTTTGAGCTTCTTAAATTTTGAATCAATTTCTCCGTCTTCTCTTTTTGTTTTCCAGACGAAACCCTAGCACCAAAGATCACCAATCTCCTCCTACATCAAAAAGCAAGAAGTGATAGCCGAAAAATAGGAAGAAAAAAAAAACACAGATTTTTCTTCGAACAGGCACCACCGAAATAATTTAGCTTACTGCCACGACCACTTTCATTTCTATAATCTACCATCGTCCTACTGTTTTCAGGTTTGATTTCACATTTTACATTAAAAATTTTGATTCTTTTCCCCTTGATTTTTTTTTTGGTTCGGTCTAAACTCCTTCTATATTGTTTGGTTATTCTCCCATTGATTTTTTAGCTGCTAAGGTGAAGGGTTTAATAATTTTGCATAGTTTTCTTATCAGTTTTGATACAATAGGGGTGCGCGACAGTTGTTTGACGAAATGTCCGTTGGGGCCAAGGTATTTTTTTTGTTTGCACTGATTTCTCATATATTTTCTGTGTTCACAACTTGGCATTTTTGGGTTTCTCGGGGTCCAATATTATCTCCAAGTTTCAAACTATTGGCATGAAGATGGAGGCAAAGAAGCATCAGGAAGAAGTAAGATACCTACCACAGAGTATCTACCGTAAAAAAAACTTACTCAAACATTTTTGTATCTAAGGCTATGTGGAGTGGTCACTACAAACTCACCGGAAAAGTGGTGTCACCTCTGCGCCACGTCACCTTCACCACCAACCCACTCCACTATGGAAATGGTCACCACTAACAACATTTACTTTTATTATTATTATTATTATTATTATTATTATTATTATTATTTTAACATTTTGTTAAATAAATAACATAATTTTTAAAAAAGGCAAGTTTTTCTATTTTTTATAACACTATATGAAATAAAAAAACATAATTTATAAGATAAATAAATTTTTTGAAAATACAAAAAAAAAAAAAAAAAACTTTTCATTAATTAAAAACATAGAAATTTAAAACCTAAAATTACTAAAACACACATAAAACCTAACAAATCAACTACTACACTACTTAATTTAAAAAAAAAAGTAAAACATAAAAACCGTAGAAGAGTACTACTCGTCGTCATCATCATCATCCTCATCTGCCTCGTCGTCACCGTCTGCATTCTCGTCGTAATCATCACTCTCATCCTCTTTGTCTTAATCGTCATTTCCCCGTTGGTGTTGTCTCTCCCATATGTGCTCGGTCAAATCGTGTCGTAGATTGTGATGTGTTTCACGATTTTGTATTTCCAAAACCCTAGAGAAGTATGTCGGGCTGCCAACTTGTATTATTGCAGGTGGGTTAAGTGCATCGTTGTCGGTATA